CAGCTCCAACACACGCCAACACAGCTCCAACACACAGCACTGAGTCAACAAAGGTCTGGTCTGGTCGAACAATAACCAGCGAATGAAGCAGTTGAGGAAGTTAGCTGGTTTAGTGTAGTGAGGCAGACGACGCACTTGGCCACGAACCTCAACAAAGTCTTACACTAAACTGATGAGGAGAACCATTTTGACCCTAGATTACTTCTGTCCATATGACTATTGAGTGTCCGAGCTAGAAGGGACACTCAGAAGAGAGAAAAACTTAAGAAAGATTCACTAATATGTCGGCACCACTGTACATAAGTGGTCACGAATTATACACCACTTATCTTGCCACACCATCACAGGAGCCACAGCAACACTAAAATTACATAGACAGAGTGGTTAACGGAACACTGTGGTGGTCATCGTCGGTGCTGCCTCTATGTGGTCGTTCACAGTATTTTCGTACAGTGGTTGTTGAGAGTAAACACCAGAATGTTTTTTATCCAGGATGTTGTATATAACGTGTGTTTACGTATGATGCCTTTAGACATGTTTATACAGGTGGTTGATCAGAATGATTATCTGTGTGTGTGTGTGTGCGTGTGTATGTGTGCGTGTGTGTGTGTGTGTATGTGTGTGTGTGTGTGTGTGCGCGTGTATGTGTGTGTGTGTGTGCGTGTGTGTGTGTGTGTGTGTGTGTGTGCGTGTGTGTGTGTGGCGGTGTGTGTGTGCGTGTGTGTGTGTGTGTGTGTGGTGTGTGTGTGTCGTACCAACGTTAAATCAGGAGCCACTTGGTTGTCAGAGTCACATCATAATTAACACTGAGACACTAATTATATTCATTATATCTGGTAGCCTCAAGACTTACCATTCTCGACCTTCTTGCCCACTCTCCCACAAGGCCTCAAATCCATTACCCACCAGATATCACACCTGTTATAATAACCCGCATTCTCGACCTTATGTTTCGCCACAATACGGGCTTCGAACTTTGTTGGTACTTTTACACAACGCTTACTCCTGACTCTTGCCATTCTCGTCTTTCTCGGTACGTCTCCACAAGACCCATAATCCCTTGTATTTGTTAGAGAAAGTCCTGGTGTTAATAATTTGCCATTCTCTATCTTTCTGGCTTTATGACATAAGGCCTATATTATCTTGGTGATGTGATGATGGTGTTGTTAGTGTAGGTAATATATACGAGGGTGCATAAAATGATTAAATATATGGAAGATGAACAGTGATGTGTGAGGTATGAATTGTATACGAATAAAAGAAATTATCCATATTTAATAAACGTAAATAACATAAAAGTATAAATAACATCACAGGAGAATTAATAACTAAATAATGAAAATATTGAATTTAAAAAAAAAAGGTCTATTTTATTACACATATTAAAATAAACATCACTTATAATATTTCATAAGCTTAATTATATCAGTAAAATTATATATTATATTTTGGGGTGAAAAATTAAATACTTTGTCTTGAAAATAAAAATGTTGAGGAGTGAAATAGCGAGTCGCACATGAAGGTTATTTATATGTAGTTTAATAAAAAAAAATTAATATGAACAGGTATATATATGAGAGAGAGAGAGAGAGAGAGAGAGAGAGAGAGAGAGAGAGAGAGACAGAGGAATGGAAAAGAGAGACTAAAAAGAGAGGGAAAGAAAGGTAAGAGAGATACTAAGGAAGTGAGAAAGAGAGAGAGACTGAGAAACAGAGACAAATATACTGGGAATCTAATGAACAAGTGAGAATTATATACTACCATTTATCAACAAAACACGTATGGACAACTAATCGACGTAAATAAATCTCCCACAAAAAAAGATTCATCAAAATATTGTAGAACCTTATAAAGAATAAATAAATAAAACAAATAAAATAAACAATATCGAATAAAGTATAAGATATTAATTTACTTCTAGGCTTAAAAAATAAATAAATACTGTAAATAAATAAATAAAATAACAAATAAATACTGTAAATAAATAAATAAAATAAATAAATAAAAGTGAATCATTCCTACTATTTGGGTCGCAGGAGTGTTACTGGGGTCAGCTCTACTGTATGTCCTGTTCTGTTATCTCCTGACCAGAGACTTACAGACAGACACGTGCTTGGGGATACACGGTGATAAGTTTATACGTCAACATTATGGAAGGAAATAATAACAATGGAATTTTTTAACCAGTTTTTCAGTGCGTCTTTATTTATTGATATTAAAATAAATGAGCAAACAACATACACAAGCCATAGCAGACAGTGAGTCACGACACCATACAGTAACCTCACGACACTATACAGTGACTCACGACACCATACAGTAACTCACGACACCATACAGTGACTCACGACACCATACAGTAACTCACGACACTCATACAGTGACTCACGACACATACAGTGACTCACGACACCATACAGTGACTCATAAACCATACAGTGAGTCATGGCACCATACAGTGACTCATACCATATAGCGATTCATGACACTATACGGTGACTCGTGACACCATACCGTAACACGGCACCATACAATGAGTCATGGCACAATACAATAACACTTGGCACCATACAATGAGTCATGACACTATACGGTGACTCGTGGCACCATACAATGACTCACGATACCACACAATGACTCAGGTGACTCAGAGACGTAAAAGTCATTATGAGATAATCACCATACAATGACTTAGTGCACAATACAACCACCATATGATGACTGGGTGACGCTTAAGTTACAATATAATTTCTTTATAATGAGTGACGTCACATTCAACGTGCAAACTGAGTGACGTAATAATGACCATCAATCATCATACAACGAGTTACTTGAATTAAGATTATTTATCAACACGTAATCAATGATGAACAAGTGATGTCATCGTACCGCCACCGTAAATTATACTACTGTATACAATGATCATAAAGTCAGTGTATAATGATTGGCGACGTCACTATTCAGTATCCTTGTAACGTCACTATAAATACTTGGACATCATCATATAGTGACCAGATGACATAACAATGATCTGAATGACATCATAACACACTACCACAGGTGTAAAAAATCACCATTACAAATATTTTTAGTGACTTCACCAAATACAATATCCCGAAGAAGTCAGTTACCATTACAATTATCCAGTGACATCAACTCCAATATACAGTGAGGTGGTGGACTTCACTGTATACTCACCTGGTCAGCATCCCACAAAATACTCTGCCTAAATCAACAGGTTAATTAAGGTGCAGGTAAACAGCTCGTAAAAACTACACTCAGAAGTTATTGTTGACGATCATTGAGATATATATTATACATTCTCATACTTTACAACGTGGGGGGAGGGAGTGTGGGGGGAGGGGAGTGTGGGGGTTGGGGAGGGGAGGGGGAGGTGGGGAGGGAGGTGGGGAAGAGGAGGGAGGGGAGGGAGTGGGGGTGGGAGGGAGTGGGTGGGGGAGGTGGGGGAATGTGGGAGGGGAGGTGGGGAAGGGGTGGGGGAGTGGGGAGGGAGGTGGGGGGAGGAGAGGGGAAGTGGGGGGTTGGGGAGGGAGGGGGTGGGGGAGGTGGGGGGCTAGAGGGGAGGGGGGGAATGTGAGGGAGTGGGGAGTGTGGGGAAGAGGAGGGAGGGAGGGAGGGGGGGGGAGGGGTGGGGGGGGAAGTGGGGAGTGGGGAATGGGAGGGAGTGGGGAGGGAGGGAAGTGGGGAGTGTGAGGGAGTGTGGGGAGTGGGGGAAGAGGGAGGGGAGGTGAGGGAGTGTGGGGGAGGTGGGGAGGGAAGTGTGGGGAGTGGGGGGAAGTGGGGAGGGAGAGTGGGGAGGGAGGGAGGTGGGGAGTGTGGGGGTTGGGGAAGTGTGGGGAGGTGGAGGGAGTGGGGAAGAGAGGAGGGAGGTGGGGGTGGAGGGGAGTGGGGAGGTGGGGAAGTGGGGAATGTGAGGGGGAAGTGTGGGGAGTGGGGGAATGTGAGGGAGGGGGGGGAATGTGAGGGAGGTGGGGAGGGAGGGGGGTGGGGAGGGGTTGTGAGGGAGGGGGAATGGGGGAGGTGGGGAATGTGAGTGAGTGTGGGGAAAGGGGGGAGGGAGTGGGGAGGGGGGAATGTGGGAGGAAGTGGGGGAAGGTGGGGGGTTGGGGAGGGATTGAAGTGTGGGGGTTGTGAGGGAGGGGAAATGGGGGGAGGATGGAGGTGGGGGGAATGTGAGGGAGGGAGTGTGGGGAAGTGTGGGGGTTTGAGGGAGGTGGGAAGTGTGGGGGAGTGGGGGAATGTGAGGGAGGTGGGGAAGTGTGGGGGGAGGGAGGGGAGGTGGGGGAGGTCAGGGGAGTGTGGGGAGTGTCAGGGAGTGGGGGAAGAGGAGGAGAGGGGGAGAGAGGAGGGAGAAGGTGAGGAAGTGGAGTTGAGAGGGAGGTACAGTGATGGCGAGGAAGAGAGAGAGAGAGAGAGAGAGAGAGAGAGAGAGAGAGAGAGAGAGTGTGTGTGTGTGTGTGTGTGTGTGTGTGTGTGTGTGTGTGTGTGTGTGTGTGCAAGGAGAGAAAGCTGGGGAGGGCGTTAAGAGGAGGAGGAGAAAAGAGAGAGTTGGAGAGGAGAGAGAGGGAGAGAGGAAGAGGGAGGGAGAGGGAGAGGGAGAGGGAGGGGGAGAGGGAGAGGGACAATATATCACTGGGTTAAATTTACCAAATATAAACACAACGAAGCAACACTAAATATGACTTATGTACAATACTGGGGGCAAGAGAGGGCAGGAAAGGGCAAGAGAGGGCAGGGGAGGGCAGGAGAGGGCAGGGGAGGGCAAGAGAGGGCAGGGGAAGGCAAGAGAGGGCAGGAGAGGGCAAGAGAGGGAAGGAGAGGCAGGAGAGGGCAGGAGAGGCCTGAAGGAGAAAGAACAGGCGAGTGGGGAAAGGAGGGAAGAAGAGAGAATTAAAAGGAGAGGGAGGAGAGAAGAGAAATGGGAGTAGGGAAAGAGGACAGAAGAAGGAGAGAGAGAGAGAGAGAGAGAGAGAGAGAGAGAGAGAGAGAGAGAGAGAGAGAGAGAGAGAGAGGGAAATGAAGGGGAGAAAAGACAATGAAATGCTAGGGGAGAGGAGAGGAAAGGAAAAGAGGAGAGGTCATTGAATGGGAGAGGAGGTGACGTAAGTGGGGAGGATATAGGAAAGGAGATTGGGAGGAAGAAGAGATGATGGGATGGGAGGAGGAGATGGGAGAGGAGAAGGAGAGGAAATGAGTTTAAGGTGCAGGGGGGAGGAGAAATGCTCGAGGGTGGGGAGAGAGGAGTCGATCTGGGTAGTAGATGGTGCGGAAAGGTGGCAGGAAAGGGGCGGAGAGTCGAGACGAGGAGGAGCAAGAGGAGGAAGACGCGGAAGTAGAGGAAGAAGAAGAGGAAGAGGAGGAGGAGGAGGAGGACGAAGCCATGTGGGGGGATTCTGGCTGAGTTATAGCGGTGGGGCGAATCTGGTCGAGGTTAGGGACGAGGGGTGGGCGAAGGAGGGTGAGAGAGGGGGGCGAAGGAGGGTGAGAGAGGGGGGGCGAAGGAGGGCGAGAAGGTGAGAGGAGGGGGGAGGAGGAGAGTGAGGTAAGCGAGACCTGTAAAGATCACACAACCTTGGCTGTCGTGACTACAAGGCATCACCGAGTCTGTGTCAGCCGCCACCTCCCCTTTGCTGCTGACATTTGTTGGACAATGAATCACGTCAGCAGCAGCAGCACAAGGTCTCACAACAGCTGCTGCTGCTGCTCCCTGATGGAACTGAGAAACACAGCCAGCCAACCAGTGCCACCTTGGGTATACTGTCCATTTTCTCTTAATTGCGGCCGTATTCATAAGCGACAGTTGGGAGTCGATAATGAGCACTGGGAGGCGTGGGTGGTGAGGTGGGGTGTCCTTCACTACTAGATACACACACACTCACGTACACACTCTCACTCTCTCCCTCACACGTGCATTCACACTCGGAGCTGTCACCACCATTGTACACAGTAATGGTCCCTCATGCTGCTGCTGCCAAGCCGTCGATGCTGTTGCTGCCATTGGTCGCTGTTTCAGTTGCTGGTTTAATGGCTTTGAATGCTGAACGTGTATCTGTACGATCAATATCATCTCAGTATCATCACGTTAAACGTCTTATGCCTGACATCACCTGTTAACACACCACATCACATATTGTGTCACTGTCGTAAGCGGATATCACTTACTGAGGAAGTATCTTGTACTTACATCATCTTAATCACTTGCCACATCAAATAAGTTTTTTATGCAATATCACTTCAGTGTCGGCAATTTTTACTCGAAATGCAGGTGAATATTTGTACCAGGAGTCACCTTGGAGGTTCACAGTTGACATGACACCAGGAATTTCTCGTCTCATTAAACACACTATTAACATTTCCTGTACACAAGAAGCTACAAAAGCAGTACAGTATCGTGCCACCTTTGAACCTATAAAATGACTCCTACAGAAGAACTACACTGACTGACCTTATAAAATATAGCGTTTAATATTTCCCCTTTTTTTTCATAATCAATGACAGATTTACGAACAACATTATCCAATTCATTCTTAACTACGCCAGAGATATTAACACTAAATCATTGTATTAAAATGAGAACAAAAGTCACCCATCACATAAATATTGACATAATGATACAGCAAAATAAAGATTAAAGATAGATAATATTACAAAGAGAAAAATAGTGACCAAAAGTGATATTGCAAGACAAATGTTAGACTATAAGCACAGGTTTTACTCAATTGTCCTCGCGTAATATTTACCACCGCAACACACAAAAACTTTACTTACATTCACCCAACTTCACTTTTTCTTCAGGATTTCAATAAATTCAACTTCTGTAACCCTGGAAATATCATTCACTGTGTTCTTAAGTTTCAGTTTGTATTCTCAAGTGGTACATTTCAAGTTACATTAGTCAAGTAGCACTCTCAGTATTGCACTCCTAGGTTCTATATTTTCAAGTCTCATTAGCAGGTTACACTCTCAGGTCGCCGGGGCAGACATACATTTGGCACTGTATATAGTTTTAGTCAGGTGTGGTGGGGATGGTAAGGGGGGGGGGACACACCTGAAACGAGAGAATAATTGGTTAGTCTAATAATATTACTGAAAGAGAGACAGAGAGACAAATAGACAGACATATAAAGATAGAGACAGAGACAAAGAAAGACAGTCAGACAGACAGACGTAATCATTTCATCTTACCTGAGTGGGTGACGACTCCTCTCCTAATTAATGAGAGTCAAGGTGAGGGGGAAGGAGGGGGAGGGGGTAGCAGGAGAGATGAGGGGGCGGGTGTTACCTCAGCAACCCCACCGCCACACCTAGCAACACTACCCACACCTGTACACTCACTACACCCGCCGCCACACCTGCAATAATACAACAAAACATTAGTCCGTGAAATAACATGTTCCATCACCACACGTAATTACCCATTAGAACTACCCAACGAACCCATTACAACTACCCAACCCACCCATTACAACTACCCAACCCACCCATTACAACTACCCAACCCACCCATTACAACTACCCAACCCACCCATTACAACTACCCAACCAAACCCATTACAACTACCCAACCAAACCCATTACAACTACCCAGCCCACCCTACAACCACCCAAACCCATTACAACTACCCAAACCCATTACATACCCAACCCACCCATTACAACTACCCAAACACCCATTACAATTACCCAACCAAACCCATTACAACACCCAACCAAACCCATTACACCACCCAACCCACCCATTACAACTACCCAACCAAACCCATTACACTACCCAACCAAACCCAGTACAATTACCCAACCAAACCCATTACAACTACCCAACCAAACCCATTACAACTACCCAACCCACCCATTACAACTCACCAGTCAACATACTCTGACTCTCAAGGGGGTCACGGCGACGGTTAAGATGGGCGCGGGCGTAGATGGTATTCTCTCGGTAGTAGACGGCGGCGATGGTGGCGGTGCAGCGGAGTTTGAGGTGTCCATTACGTAGGTGACTTGGCCGGGCGCGGAAATGGAGACCTAGGATAGAGGATTCCAGACCCTCTCCGTTGGGCACCGGGGCGTAGTCCACTAGGGATGAGCTGTCCGCCTGTATGTGTGTGAGGAAGAAGAGGGGGAGGGGGAGGAGGGGAGGAGGTAGGAGGAGGGGGGAGAAGAAGACGGATTAACTTTCAAACTCTGGGTGGTTTTTTTTTTTGAGGTATTGCTGCCATGACGAACAAGTGATAAAGCCCTGGAATACAACAGTACCCAGTGAATGTTTGTGTGTGTGTGTGTGTGTGTGTGTGTGTGTGTGTGGTAGTGATTTTTGTATGTATTTTCGTTGTGTGTGTGTGGTAGTGTTTTTTGGTATGTATTTCGTGTGTGTGTGTGTGTGTGTGTGTGTGTGTGTATGTGTGTACATTTGTAAATCAACACATACCCATATTTGTATTATATGTTAAAAAGACTTTGTACATTCGGACCTGCTTTCTTTGATACGTTCATATCCTGGCACTGCTCTGCGTCAACAGTGTGTGTGTTTGTATAGGCTGAGGTGGGCCAGTTTACTCTTTGTCCAACTTGGTCAAAATTGGGTTGACTGGCAGAGGGCGCCACTGTCTGGTAACACCTGGGCTCCCACTCCCTCTCCTACACCCTCTTTCATTAATCTCCAACACCGTTTACTTCTCTCCTCCCTTCACCACCCCTCACTTTATTCCCCCGTTTGTTCCCTCGTCTTTCCTTTCTCATATGTCAATTCTATATCTCTCTCTATATATACAGTATTTCACTCCTACCTCCACCTCGGTCATGTCTGCCTCGCGCTGTTGTCGTTCAGGTTTCATTTTTGTCAACTCATCTTCTGCTTTTGTTTAATATGATGTAATAAATGACTCTGAAGGAATAACAATTGGTCTTTTTATTCCTGATATTTTACTAGATAAGAACTGCTTTCTCCACCTCTCTCTCTTTTTCTCTGTCTTCTTCTGCATTATCCATCCTTCCCTCCCTCCATTCTTCCCTTCGTTTCTCCTACTCAACGCGACAGCTCCCTCTCATCTCTTCCAGAACCTCAAGAGATAGAACAAGAGGAAAATTCCCCACCTTAAGATTACATCGCTTCTCACCGGTGATTATGAAGTTTGAGCTGGTCTTAATAACACCTCCTCCTCTCGCCCAACTTGCCAGACAAAAGTTCCCCCGGACGGCGCCCTGATGAAGCTCTTCCCGCAGCCTATGACTCACTCTATAGCGCAAGTTGGTGACATCCATCCATACACTGTTGGCTGATGATGCTCTGAGTGAACCCCGGCAGGAGGAGGAGGGGGGGGGGACTACTGAAGGTGACCAACGCCTCCTTCCCTTAGGTCGTGGTGTTTAGGCGTTTTGACGCAAAGAAAGTCTCATGACCCGAAGAACTAAGTTATTCATCATCCACCACTACGGAAACCTTGGGGATATATTTTAATATTACTCGTGTGTTGTGCCGTGAGTCACATGTTAACCCGGGCTGTAGAATGAAAAATGAATATCCTGGTCTGGTTACCTAAAATATCAATATAATCAAAGACTTTAAGTGAAACATTCAAAGCCCAGGACGAAGATCAAGGGGAATTTTATAAATACTTATGATCTGGAAAGCTAAGAGATTGATCACTAAGGAAGAATAATATTATAGAGGTTTCTTCAGTATACTGTCACGTGGTCACAGTGTTCTTATAATAATATGCACCTTACCTGTACTAATAGTAGTTAAGGTATTCAGCGCACCATCAAGGTATACGGTATCGATCCCTATGATCACCAAAGTGTACCGTATTCGTAGCTTTGATCGTAGGACGCACCCAAGGGAGGACGGGGGGCACAGGGGCTGCCTTTGTCTCTCCCTTATTAAATATTTGGGTACACCACCGTTTCGACCCACTGATTATAACCTACCTCTCTCCCTCTAAGTGTATAGGTCGTGGGGTACGTACCTGCTTGTCGTTGATGTACCACATGAGGCCAGCGGCAGGCCTGGAGGGTGAGGAGGTACAGTTGACTTGTACCACATCCCCGGCGTGGTAACTTGCATGGAAGCCAGAGATGTGCGGGTCACTCTCCGGGATGTCTGAGGAGACACAGTGACGCATGTTGGGGTAATAATAATAATAATAATAATAATAATAATAATAATAATAATAATAATAATAATAATAATAATAATAATAATAATAATAATAATAATAATAATAATAATAATAATAATAATAATAAATAATAATAATAATAATAATAATAATAATAATAATAATAATAATAATAATAATAATAATAAATAATAATAATAATAAATAAATAAATAATAATAATAATAATAATAAATAAATCATAAATAATAATAATAATAATAATAATAATAAATAAATAAATAATAATAATAATAATAATAAATAAATCATAAATAATAATAATAATAATAAATAAATAAATAATAATATAATTCACAATGTAATAACCAAACCCCATCAAAATTAAATATGTTTTGCTGATAAATAAACTGCCGATTTCATTTCACACCCGTCAGTCATACAGTGGAAAATATTACCCCCAAAAAAGTTAGGCTGTGTGAACCAAAATAAGCTTGAGAGTGCCTATACAACCTGTACATCATCAACCATATTAATACCTGGCTGTTAAAAATAAATCACCTGTGGTCTAGTTAATAAGGAGGATTATGTTAATGTGTTGATAATTATATATACAGAATATATATATATATATATTTTATTTTATTTTTTAAGGGGGGTAAAAATAATCATGGCGGCTGGTGGGATGATTAGGATGATGAGGTCAGGTTCTGGTGGGTGGAGAGAGAGGAGAGAGAGAGAGAGAGAGACCTGCCGTCAGCTAGTATGGTGTTTAAGGCTCCCTCCTCCCTCCCTCCCTCCCTCCCCCTCCCCAAGGATAACATAAACACAGTCTTTATTCCCTGGAGGCAATCACAGTCCTGGCCTAAACAGTGTTCAGGTGGACAGGAGAACAGGGAAGGTATAAATCAACAAACCACAACTGAAACTAAACTGCGTAAACGAGAAGAAGAAAGTGAAGACAGGTAGACAGACAGGCAGACAGACAGACAGACAGACAGGCAGACAGAGAGAGACAGACAGACAGGCACGAGAGAGAGAGAGACAGACAGGCAGACAGGCAGACAGACAGACAGGCAGGCAGACAGAGAGACACAGCAGACAGGCAGACAGACAGACAGGCAGGCAGACAGAGAGAGACACAGACAGACAGGCAGACAGGCAGACAGACAGACAGGCAGGCAGACAGAGAGAGACACAGACAGACAGGCAGACAGGCAGACAGACAGACAGGCAGGCAGACAGAGAGAGACACAGACAGACAGGCAGACAGGCAGACAGACAGACAGGCAGGCAAAAGACAGACAGAACAAAGATATTCCTATCAATATGGCATAGATTTAAGTCCTAAAATTAATAAAAAAAGAACTAATCAGAAATATCATTCCAAAGTCAATACGGAATTAATAATAGCCTTAAAAACAAAAATAAAATAAGAGTTAAAATGCTTAATTGACTCAGGTAGTAATTAAAACAACTCTTAGTTAAAACCTTTACTAATTAACAACAGGTGTGGATATAACAAGGACACACACACACACACACACACACACACACACACACACACACACACACACACACACACACACACACACACACACACACACACACACACACACTTAGCAGCCATTCATCAAGTGTGAGTAATGTGAGAAGATCTTGTTGTCGTATACATAACCAGGTAAGGAGGACACCTGGGCTGACTTACGCCTCTGTTAATGGTCTATAAATTCCTTGGGAGGTGTGGCGGGGTGGGTGGAGGAGGGAGGGTGAGGGTGTGGGGGGTAGGTGGGGGGTGTGTGGGTGAGGGGGAGGTGAGGGGGGGTGTGAGGAGGAATTTACTGCCCACCCACTGAGTATACAAAATATTCTTTCAGTTTAGAGGTTAGTGAGTGAGTGAGTGAGTGAGTGAGTCGTCGTCCTCATTGAATACTTAAGTAAAAAAAAATGAGTCAAATGAGGAATCGATGATACGAAACTTAGTAATGAATAAACTACGAGTATATTGATTTCCTTAATTATTCACTTAAACGATGAATAAGTTGGTGAATTAGTGAATACAAACACCGCAGGTAGGGACAGTGTTCACACCATTACCTGGCCTCTCTCTCTCTCTCTCTCACAAACACCGCAGGTAGGGACAGTGTTCACACCATTACCTGGCCGCGTCACCTGAGGATCAGTGAAGGGGATTTCCCCGCCACCACTAATATAGACAGCAGGGAAAGACTCTCGCCCTCCCTCCCCCTGGCCGCTGGGGGTCTGGTCGCCTGGCAATTACTGTATATCCCTAAGAAGTGTTGCTTTAAGGTGTGTAATAACCATTCTGTTGTTGTTTTTATCACCTGAGACGAAAAATTAATTGCAGGTGTAGTTGTTTGGAGTGAGCCGGATGAGTTCGAACGGTAAACGGGAAACAGAGACGGTGTGTTGTGTGTGTGTGTGTGTGTGTGTGTGTGAGTCAATATCACTCAACAACTACATTAAAACACACAGAAAAAAGAACACCCATTCAGTTTGTCTTTCAGTTTTCAGAAAGATCCTTCAAATGGTAAAAAAATGTCCATTGAATGTGTTAGTGACGCCTATGATAATCTTGGCGACAAATTCATAAAAGAAAGAAGAGCAGATGTGAAGCTGTTTGTCCAAGAGTATGAGTCAACGGTAAGAGGATCAATCAGTAGTAAAGCCAAGGGGTCGTGTTATAAATCTGAGGACAAAGTCGCAGGCTCCGTGTGTGTGTGTGTGTGTGTGTGTGTGTGTGTGTGTGTGTGTGTGTGTGTGTGTGTGTGTGTGTGTGTGCGTGCGTGTGTGTGTGTGTGTGTGCGTGCGTGTGTGTGTGTGTGGTGTGTGTGTGTGTGTGTGTGTGGTGTGTGTGTGTGTGTGTGTGTGTGTGTGTGTGTGTGTGTGTGTGTGTGTGTGTGTGTGTGTGTGTGTGTGTGTGTGTGTGTGTGTGTGTGTGTGTGTGTGTGTGCGTGTGTGTGTGTGTGTGTGTGTGTGTGTGTGTGTGTGTGTGTGTGTGTGTGTGTGTGTGTGTGTGTGTGTGTGTGTGTGTGTGTGTGTGTGTGAAGGAACATTTAAGAACTCTGGGATCATTGATTATTTGACAGTATAAGATAAGTTGTCGTCCTTGTCGTGAGTAACTAACCTAACTCTACTCTAACCTAACCTAACTAACCTAACCTAAGCAGCAATACCACCGCCAAGAGAGAGAGAGGCCTTTGAAGTCTGAAGGGAGAGACTTAATAAGGTGGACTGCATTACCCTCAACTCTCTCTCAAGTGGGCTGTTAATTCTTCCCAGATATAGGAGTGATATTCTACATGGACGAAAAGCGATTGACTTTTAGATGGACGAATAGGGTAATTCATGGACGAAAGCTTGATTCTATATGGAAAAGCGATTCTATATGGACGATTGATTGATTGACTTTTTAGTTGGACGAATAGGGTAATTCACATGGACGAAAAGCTGTTCTATATGGACAACGATTCTACATGGACGTAAATCTTGATTCTACATGGACGTAAAGCGATTCTACATGGACAAAGCTTGATTCTACATGGACGAAAAGTTCTACAGGGACGAAAAGCTTGATTCTACATGGACGAATCACCCTACGTAGGCTATAGTCGGAATAGTTGCTAGTAGTTGCTGACGAAAACAATCTTTAACATCTGAAGAGTATTATCGCATGGAGGCGACATCTATACTAGCAAGAAGGATAAAGACATCGTACTTTAATTGTGTTTATTGTTATACTTTAGAGTGAGTGTCGTTACTCATTATACACACACACACACACACACACACAGAGGTCTGACTGGTTGGTAAGGGGCAGCTGTTACCTTCCGCCCTGCCATTCGGTTCTATAGTTTTGACTGGCTCAGAAACATATAACTCCTGGCAAACCAAATAAAGACCCAAGTTGGCCTTTCAAACTTGTGGTGACGGAGAGTTGGTCCTGGTGGTGAAAAGCGCACGTATGAATCTTCCGGTCTTTTAGTTATTGACAGAGACCTCCTTGGTGTAAAACATCTGACAGAAAGCTCGTTGGAATGAAGTTAGTGCCTTACGGGTTGCTGGAATTTAAATGTTTTTTTGGGGGGGTTTAGTTTTTATCTTCAAGGCCCATGGTGTAAAATTTATGGCTGAAGGGGTTGCTGGTATAAAACCTGACAGAGACCCTTGGTGTAAGATAAATGGGAGAGTTTGCAGGCAGATATATGCAGAGACCTGTTGTATACAAGACAATAATGGAAGGACCACTGACAGATGAAGTTTGTTTTCTAAAGATCCTTGCTGTAAAATTCATGGTTAAAAGCTTTTGTGTCAAGAATAACGCCATACTGTATAAAATTTATGTAACTAGTGTTAGTAAGACTCATTACGGCATTTAAGTCAGACAGAGACCTCGGGGATAAAATTAATAGTCAAGGGTTGCTGGTAATTTTCTCTTATACTCTGGTATAATCCCATCATCTATAATCTAGCAATAGCGCTCAACACAATGGGGGTGACGGTGAGGGGGCGCAGGGTCTTGTCTTAGTAGTAGTGATGATAACGTTGGAGGTGGTAGCATTTCTGAACTTAAGTAGCATTAACAGACTCACTACTGACCAGGAGTTGCATATATTCCCCAAATAAATAGACAAAACAATCCAAGAAATCCTTCACAAAAGTACAAGTGTAAACATTAGATACGATAACTTTACAACTCTTAGACGGCAAGACGGATAATCAATTAGTTGCTGACACCTCCAACTCATAAACGACAGACGGATAATCAATTGAGTTGTAATACCTCCAACTCATAGACGACAAGACGGATAATCAATTAGTTGCTTGACACCTCCAACTCATAGACGGCAAGACGGATAATCAATTATTTGCTTAATACCTCCAACTCATAGACGGCAAGACGGATAATCAATTAGTTGCTTAATACCTCCAGACAGACAATTCCAACGTAAGGAAATAATAACTATAAACAAATAAAAATAAAGATAAGAAGATAAATAGAGGTAATAAATGTATATAACAGATAAGAAGTGAGAGCAAGAGATGTGTTAAAATAACTCACGGACAACAAGCAGCTCCCGCCCGGAGTCAGTGTGGAAAGATGGCGACTCGCTGACACTTCACACTTGTACTTCCCCGACGGTGACACTTCCTTCAACGTCTTTCCTGTCGCTGCTTTGCCCATCTGTAAGGAGAATGTAGTCTTATAGATTACCCTAACCAAACGAGTATACAAACTAAATTGGAAACCACACGTCAGTGAAGTTGTCAATCCTCCAGTTTCCGTCTCCACCTCCTCCGCCGACTCAAGTCCCTCGGAGTTCCTGCACTGACTCCCTCAGTGTTTACACAACATTCATACTTCCCAAGCTCACCTATGCCTCCCCCTGGTCTTCCTCCTAAATGCCACACAACGTAAACACCTAGAAAAAGTGCAAAAGAGGGCATGCAAGATTATTCTCTCCCTTCCTACTCCACATATCAAGAAGCGCTCAACACACTGACCCTTTCGACTCTCACTGACCATCACCACGACCTCATCTGCAAATTTGGTAAGAAGCTTCTACACCATCCCCGACACCGGCTCCTACTACCACCTGAGATCCCTTGTCCGAGAATTGCTGTTCGACACCACAACAGCATCCAGCCCATACGTGCACGAACTGATCGCTATAAGAACAGCCCAGTCCCAACCATTGTAAAAATTATCAATAACTTGTAATAAATCAGTGTATTCCTCCCCAGTAAACACTGCTCCTACACTGTCACTATGTTGAAATGAACTGTAGTTTGAGCTTTTCCCATCTAAGTTATTATATGTCTTATTTGTGTCACTTATGTTACTTGTATATTATTTGTAATTCTAACCCATTCCCAAATATGTAACTGTATATTTTCAGCCTTCTGGCTGCAAGCTCTTAATAAACCGTTAATTATTATTATTATTATTATTATTATTATTATTATTATAGTGTGTAGGGAATGATGGTGAGGAGACAGTGAGAGAGGTAGGGAATGATGGTGAAGATAGTGACAGTGAGAGAAGTGTGAGGGAATGATGGTGAGGATAAGTGACAGTGACGAAGCAGTGAATACTGATGGTGAAGTTAGTGACAGTGATGATAGTGAAGTTATTGATGGTGAAGGTAGTATACCTACTGATGATGAAGTTAGTGACAGTGATGAGATAGTGAGTACTGATGGTGAAGATAATGAAGAGATAGACAGAATATAAACTGATAACGAAACTAGTCAAAGTAGCAATAGTGAAGAAAACACTAAAAACACACCTTCTTCGATGATCAATAACACCTGGGGACAGACATACAGACAGACAGACAGACAGACAGACACGCAGACAGGATGATGGTGAAACTATACGGATTATTACTTATTTTTTCCCACTCAAATAAAAGAGAACAAGAGGGATTATGTCCGGACAATAATACGCCACCGGGAGAAAAAAAAGTCCAACAATAGCAAAGTGAATTTTGTATATGGGTGTATGTCGGTCCGTAGGATTGTGTGTGTAGATAAATGACAACGCACAGGTGGTTTTATCTTCATCAGTGGGGATTAAACATGTATGTGTGTGTGTGTGCTTGACAGGTGCATGAGCGTCAAGGCGTGTGGTGTGTGTATGTGTGTATGTGAGGAATTGCTTGAGTACTTTAAAATTTATAAATTCCGTCTGCATGTTGGCATCTGGAAGTGCTTATAATAAGTCAGTTTAATTCAGTCTTTTAGGCATCTACGTGTGTGTGTGTGTGTGTGTGTGTGTGTGTGTGTGTGTGTGTGTGTGTGTAAATGGGTGTATAGCTTGCTATGTCAACAATTTCATCGTGTCAGTATTTTGTATTTCATCGAACTTCAAGAGCCTCGTCATATATCCTCAAAGTGGAGCAAACTTCAGTAGTTTTATGATTTACCCAACAAAACATTAATTACATCCTGCACCAAGGTTACAAGATTAGTTGTGGAAGCATTCATAACCTGAGGTTGTCTAATTTTTTGTTTTAATAACGAGATGAAGAAGTCTTTCATATTCGTGATTTTCATACATTAACACTAGCCATGATATTTATTATATAATCTTTCATTTATAAACTACAGCAACATACAGGATATACTGTCGGGTTTTTTAACATCATCACACAGAGGTACAAGTTACAACAATCGAACCGTGATATCCGGAAGTTATAATGACGAGCCATCTACTTCAATTTCGTTTTCTGCATATTAAAATCTCCAAAAGCTCACATTTTAATGCTCACACATTTCTATACGAATCCGCTTTCCTATAAGGAAAGTATAAACGCACGCGGTCGAGTTGATTAAAATACAAGAAAACTTCGGGATAATTTAAGCCCCGAAAGCAGTCACCAGCGTCCCACCTATGGCTCCCAGGACTATACGCAGCCAATCGAGGCTGCCCGAACACGCCATCTATCCACCAGACTCAGAAGTGCTCACGGAAAGTTGTTGATAGTGATATGCAGAACAGTTTCTGTGGATTATTACGCTAAAATGAGTTACACTGAGAGTGAAGAGGGTCCTAGTACATCTGCTGCACCTATAAGTAAGTTGCCCATGGCCTGAGATACAGGTGGAAACGTGTTGTGAGCAATAGGGGTTGGGTGTAAATGGACTGGTTTAGCATGGGCTAATAGGCCCGCTGCAGTTTTCCATTCTTATGTTCTTATGTTCTTATGAAGAAAAGCGAAATAATGGAAAGATTACCTGTGTTGGTGTACAGAAACGTAACATTCTGCTCGTGTTATTAAGCCTTTGTGTAGGTTGGGTGAAATAAAATACATAGTTTATGATTTCTGTAATTGGGTGATTATCACACCAAACTCAGAGCCTGATCACGTAAAGAAAAGTTGCTTTAAGTCCGGTGTAGCAGTTAAAAGTGAAATCTAGGTAAAATGAATTGTTTGCCCAACATATCGAATGGCACTCCCGTCTCCCGGCAGAACGCTCTGAGATTCACGGTAAGTATGATGTGAGTGCCGACCGATAGTGCATTATATTCGACTTTCATGCGTTGGTTGTATAATAATTCAATTAATTAATTGAGTTGTTGGAAGTGAGTCTCGGGGTTATTTACCAATGATAACTTTCAGACGAAGACTAAAACTACGTAAAATGAATTAAATTCAATTGTGTCGCTATTATCCATTTCCGCCTGTTATATATGGGGTTCAAAATGCTCAGAATGGGAGATCTAAATGTTTATAACTCTAAGGCGCGCTATGTCCAAGTAATAATAAAAAAAAAAAAAAAAATATATATATATATATATATATATATATATATATACCTCAGGTAACACTCGCTAAAACTGTACTATAATATCATCCACACAAATCCTTACCTTAAGGTAATACTCACCAAACTGAATTAAAACATTATGATTTAAGCAATACCAAACATATACAACGCATGTGTCATAGAATGCATCCATCATCTGAGCAGAACTGACTTCAGCTGAGGCTGACTGCGGAGCAACGCCAACCACTTGCTGTCCGCCGCTGTCTGAATGAGTCGTACGTCTGGCACTTCATTTTACCTAACACTTCACTTTAACTGCTACACCGGCTAACCCGCCATGCGATATCATACTCTTTAAAAACAGTGAACATCAGGTGTGTGGGACTAGATTTTTCATATAAATGGTATTAGTGAACTGCGTGTGCGAACAGTAAGCAAACAAGATTGGACCATTGAGGAAGACATATGTTCTAGACACACACACACAAAAAGTAAGATTAGCGAAGAGCGAGGCTGCTCGCGACACATCGCCTTCCCTGCATGCCTGCTGTCAGCAAACCAATACATAGTCGGACATACAGTAGTTTACATAGACACCTGCCAACTAACCTTACAATCATTAACCACTATCCACAACCACCATCGACAACCAGTAAGTACAGAACTATGTTATGTTATCATGAGTATGTATGCATTGTTATATTTTGAGTTCGTATTTGGAGATGTTGGAATTTCAATTAATGAAATAAACCTAATCGCTACAAAATAGCAAATATTCTATACTACACCAGGTATATATATCCGGTTAGTTATCAAATCCAGTTCTTTTTTACATTAGTTATATATATAGCAATTATACACGTTATCCACAAAGCATATTCAGAGACACGAACCCATGTAAATACTTAATTTGAACTAAAGTTATGGTGGCTTGTGTTTAAAACTTCAACGGATTTTTTCTCAAAAGTAGGTTTATGCGTCTGACAGTTTACTAACCCAAGGTGTGACAACTCAACAACTCTCCATAAACCACATTCCACCAAAATCCCCAAAATGTCAACAACCCAAAAACAAAACATAACTGAATAATGAAAGTAGACAGACAAGCAACGTCTTTGTGTATAAATTCATCAACTACACGACCTTGAGGAATAATAAAAGAAATTGAGAGAAGAAAAAAATTAACGGTTGAGCTTGACCACAGGGGTAGTTGTTAGGTTAGGTTAGGTTCACAGTAATTGGTAGTACCCCAAGGTTCAGTACGTGACCATTATTTATTATATAGAAAAACGACATAGATATAGGCGTAGACAAGCAACGTTAGTAAATTTGCTGATGACACTAAAATTGAAGTGTAATTAAATCTGACGAGGACTCCGCAAACTACAGGAGGAGCTAAAAAATCGCATGGTCTGAAATGGCAGATGAAATTTAATGGACAAATGTAATGTATTTAATCTAGAGATGTAAACAGAGAAACCAGATACCAGATGAACAACGATGTTATAGAGAAATCCGACTGTGAGAAAGATTTAGGAGGAGTGATAAGTAGGAATCTTAAACCAAGTCAACAATGTGTATTTGCTCGAAACAAGGCTAACAAAGTAGTTGGGTTCATACAAAGGAGTATTATTTACAAGACTAGCGGGTCATCCATACACTATACCTTGCGCTTGTGAGACCTCACTTGGATTACGGGTTCAGTTCTGGTCACCGTACTACAGAATGGATATAGAATCCTTAGAAAATTCAGAGAGAGAATGACATACTAATCCGGGCATTAGGAACCTTGAGTACAGA